ACAAAAATTGAGTCAAATTAATTAGAACTATCAAAGACTAGACTACAAATCTCGAAATTAGAACTATCAAAGACTAGACTACTAAACTAGAACTATCAAAGACTAGACTACAAAAATTGAGTCAAATTTTGAATGCAAGGAATGGGAAAAGTCGTATTTATAATACTACATTTAATGAACACGGTTGCACTTTTATTCATATACTTTGCAAACGTCATTCGAATTACTAAAAAAAAAAAAAAAACGTAACATCGTGAGCCCGCAAAATTACTCTAAGAAAATCATAAATTGGTCATTTTGGCCACTTTGGTTGTTCTAGATTTGTTAAATAAAAGATTCACCTCGCGAATCGAACGACTGGCTCCCTGGCCGCTCGTTGCCACCACGCTTCGTAATCTCTCCTCGTCGTGATTACCGCGACGAAATTGGAGCCAGCTCACGCTCCCGTGTGTCGACGCGATCGAGTCGTCACGTTTCCTTGGCCAACGCTTGAAACGATCGAAACTACCTGGGCAACTTGGTAAGGAAGTTCCGGCCTCCTGTTATCGGACTCCTGCGTTCGACAGCGATACGTCCAGAATCGCTTCGACCGCAGAACGTTTCCTCGCGGAATTAACGAATAATAGAGAATAAAAATCGGGAACTAATCGGGGATTTCGAGATAGTCTCGCGATTGGATAAACGTTAATTCTTTGGCGCCTAAAAGTATCACAACTTTTAACAACTACTATAACGTCGAGAGTTTTTTTGTTCCAAAGTTGCAATATTTTTTCAGTTCCAACACTTACTGTTGCCAAACCGAATGGGGAGAGTTTCCCGCTTTAATGTAAATCACTGTATTACCGACCGGGGAGATCTCTCACATTTTCTTTCTTTTTATTTTTATTTTTATTTTTAATTAGTTTTGAACTGGAGTTATTTGGAATTGGATACTTTTTTCTGTTTGTATGAAATAAAATTTTTAATAAAATCTGTGGTATAATTAGAGATTAGGTTGACAAAGTGTTGTACATTTAAATATAGCCCTGGCAGAACAAATAATGCAAATTTATTGCTTAGTAATTTCTATCTTTATTTTAAATGAAGCTTAAAGCCACTGTTAAATTTTTAGTACGTGCACTAATAATACAACATGAATATGTATATAAAGGTATTATAAACGACATAAATAATGTCGTTTTTTGATTCTGTACTAAAATTTTATTTTATTTAAGAGTTAACACAGTTTTAATATGTGACATAATCTCCATCGTTATTTGCCCATCTCTCTGACAAGCTTTCTATTCCCTTTTTGTAAAAGGAGAAGGTGATTTTAAAGTAAAAAAAATTTTAACTTAAAAAAAAAAACATTACTTATGGATATATACACCTAGTAAACAATATTGACGTTTAACGTAGCGCAATCCAGCAATAATTTTGATTATTTCAATATACTTTCTGAGAAATGCAATACGCTGAAAATACGAAAAATTTCTCATTCGCAGTGGCAGGTCGCGATTGAACTTCTACGTGCCATCGTACGTTAACGAATCGATACTCCGACGTAACTTCCGGTGCTACCGGCCGAGATATCCGAGAAGATCAACACCTGAATCTTACACCTTCACGATCTTCACGGGTTTATTAAAAACGACACGGTTTTCCGCGGGACGACGAGACGTCGTCGAGCTAATGGCCTCCTCCGTAGGGTGGGACGGAGGATCCGGATCGATGTCCGTTATATCGAGGCTGTAATCGATAATCGACTTAATTCTAACGAAGCAATTAGCCGGTCGAGTGTGCAATGAAATTTAATAACAGGATTAGCCGCGAGAGATGGATCTCGCAACGCGACGACACGGTGCTTCGTTTAACTGCGATTACACGGTCGGCTACGATATTCCGTCCGATTCTTTTTCTCTCTAACGGCGGTAGAGGAATTAACGCGCGACGAACTGTTCGAACTTCCACGAACAGCAGGCACCAAAGGTCATTCATTACGTTTCTTCCCGCCGGTTGTTTCTTCTTCTTTTTTTTTTTTTTTTTTTTTTTTTTTTTCCGTTGGATATTCCAGACGCAACCTAATGAATCATCTATCCTGCTACGTTCACGCTTGTCTTCGTTTCCGTGGCATTTTCTCCATCGCACGCAGATGAGCCCACGTGCCCCTCTCGAACGCCTACCACGCGTTCTTCCACCCGATTCATCCGCCAGATTTTTTTCCTCCTCGATGCCGGATATCCGTTTTTTTCAAAACGTCCTCGCGTGAAATTCCTCCCGGTATTTATGCACGTGTGCACCTACACGTCGCTCTCGTCCCACGGTCGCGGATAAAATGTCGTAAACGTGGAACTGAATGGAGCAAATAACATTTACGAACAGCTATTACTTCGACAAGGTAGCTGATCGGTCACAGCGACGAATAGTCAAAGAGCCTAGTCCGCTAGATCGTAATTTTTTAAGCAGCAGATCCTTATGCAAATTTATATTTTTACGAATGAAATGTAGAAAATGGAAAACCTAGATAGAAAACTGATTTTTCTTCTAATTATTACACGATGGAATATCGAGTAGTTTATATATTTCGAATATTTGAATATTTTATATATTTTTATACGTATTTGCGTCAGTGTTCGCAAGGATTGCTTTTGATCTATTGCACAAAAACTTCTACCGTATGAAAAAAAAATGCACTCTATAGTTGCATTCTTGCCGATCTGTCACCTCCTACGTGAAAAGCAGCATCGACAGTGGGAACCTTTATCGGGACTTTCGACCTTTCTTCGAGGACAGCGTCGTTCGTCGTCCGGCAGACGAACAGTTCGTTCGTCGTCCGGGATGAGACAAGGAGAGGGTGGGCACGGCGGACGCGTTCGATCGTTGGACGGCACAGCGGGGACGCAATTCTAACTGTTGCATTCGGTTAACACCGGCGGAGCTGGCCGGCTGGCGCGATACGGCGCCGCGCAAGTTATTAAAGACAATCGATCTAATTTTAATCTCATCTTTCGCCCACGCTGCCGCGTTCGCGTTCTCTTGGGGAAAAAGCGGAGGCGTCTGGTCGCGCGACCTCGCAGGGGACACTGCTCCTGCCTCGCCTCCATTGGCTGATGGCCGACGGCGCCAGCGGAAAGTATCCTCGTCTACCTTCCACGCGTTCCGCGCGATCGTCTCGCTGTCTCTCCCCGCTCCCCGAGCTGCCGGACGAGCCTGGCGGGGAGTGACGAGTCGTGGTGGGGGAAGCTAGTCGGACGGAGAGCATCGCCATGTACCCTTGGCGTGCTGGGTGCGACGCGACGGAGCGTCTCGGTTGGAGAAGGATGGACTGTTTCGCGAGGAAAGGAGAAAATTCTGGGGAACGACGGAGAGGGGAACAAAATACATCGAAGAGAGAGAGAGAGAGAGAGAGAGAGAAGCTTAGAAGCCAGCGATGGGTTCGAGAAACGTCGAATTTTAGCTCGAACGCGTGCGAAACGAGAATTTAGGATCCGAGCTGAAAGTTTCAAGGCGCGTTGTAACGTAAGTTACGTTAGTTAACGAACGCGAATCTCGTAAGTGCCTCGAACTGTTTCTTAATCCAAACCGAATGGAACCGAATGGAATTCCCATAAAACTGCGCGGTACGGTGTGCATGTACAACATTGAAATGCCCATCGCTAACGTAACTTGGGGCAGTGGAGGGGAGAAGGGTACAGGTGGCGCGACAGAGTCGAACGATCTATAACGAAGCGTCGCGTCGGACAAAGACGGAGGCAGACGCGGCTGGAGGGGAATATCGGCGTGTCAGGAAGGGGTAGGGGAACAGAGACGCGTGGAAGGGGAAAAGAGGAGCGAGCGCGCAGCAGGAAAGCCGCCGGGCGCCATACTGCTTTCGTTGGTTCGGCACAGTACGCGCCCAGCGCCAACGCGGATCGTCGCGGTGCTCGTCGTCCTCGTTTGTCGTCGACTGGTGGTGTAGTTCTCTGTTACCTTTTTTTTTTTTTTCTGTATTCCGCTCGGGTTTTCTCTCCCCTGTACGAATATCTCTGCGTGTCGGCGACACAGGCCGGTCGAACGGAACGGACGAGAGCTACGGAGCAAGAAGAAAAAGAGGAGAACGTGGTTTCAGTTCGGCCGCCGTCGCCGCCGCTGTTGTCGCTGTTCTTTTCTCGACCGGCTCTCGCGAGGAGCGTGCGTCTTTCTCTCGTCGGTGAACGAACAGACACAGTGGTGGAAGAAGAAGAAACACACCGGGGATTTTACACGCTCGTGGACACTGGACTGTGCGGCTCTCTTTCTTCCTCTTTCTCTCTCTCTCTCTGTGTTCCTCTCTGTCTCTGGTTTTCAAAGTACTGGCCGGCTCTACGCGTACCGCTAGGTGAGTGAATATCGTGAAATGACTAGACATACACGCACACACACACACACACATACACACACATATACGCAGAGAGAGGATTGAAACCACGCGCGAGATAGGTTAGGCGACACACGACTCTTCTTGGTGCTTCTATTTCTCCGTGATGTGGAGATCTCTGTGCTGTGTCGCCACGCAAAGAGAGACTCCTACGTACGTATAACCATAACCAGGCTGCGCGATTGCAAGCTGGTCGTGGTCGCAGCCGATACCGGTTACGGTTACACACGCTTTTACTTTCGATCGAGGCCGACTCGGCCTCGAGACCCGTCTGCGCTTTCGGAACAGCTGCTCACCGCCCCGGACCACGGTTTCCACCAGCCGGACGAAGGTTAACCTTCTGTTTTACCATCGTGTCGCATCTCCACGCCCGGTTCCTTCCCTTCTGTACCAGCAATCGTGTCCTCTCGATCGGCTGCGTCGCTCTTTGCACTGGAAAACGTTAGTCACTAGCCGATTACACGCGCGCGTTCGCGCCTGACTTTAAACATCGAGTCTGATAGCGGAAATTGACGGCTGGAGATTACGAACGAAAATTAGATATTTAAATTTTTTTTATTAAACTAAACAAGAGAATATCGCGAATCGTCGTCGACTATTTTTTTTTAAATTTTGTCACCGCGTGTCTACAGTGAAACAAGACGTGTATTGGCCCGAATTCTTTTAACTGATTGATTTATACCCATCGACGGGCCAATAGACGATCAGTCGAAAGACCGCAGTTTATCATTTCGAATGGGACGTGCCGGCTACTATATTTCACCCGTTCGACAAACATACGTCTTCCTACGTTTGTGTGTGTGTGTGCGTGTGTGTTCTTTAATTCTTTCCGCGCGTCTTTTCTTTCGTTTCTTTTTTTTTTTTTTCCTTTTTTTGCACACGTTTCTCGTATTTGTACACGAGCTTGGCAAGCAGCTCGGAAGCGGAACCGCATTGTGCTGGAAGTGATATCGAATCGTTCATTCAAGCGAAATCACCGATATTTCAAAGGCTATCTATCGGTGGTATATGTATATGTACATACAGCCATTCACTGAAAACCGGTATTTAACTATAGTCGGAGTTCCTTCAACTCGTGCTTCGCAGTTAAGGTGTACTAATTAGTTCGATAACTAGAGCGATTCCATTCAACTAGCGAGAAATTTTACTGCGATATTAATAAACTAACTGACGAATGTATTATTTCGATCTTACGCTTGCACACGAATTTCTTAAATTCTGCCTGGATGATCGGTGATCTTTTCTCAAAAACAATCGACTCAAGATGATACAAGATGATGAAAAAAAAAAATCTTCAATAAAAGTGCTCTCATTATATTTTAAATACGAGACACGTGTCGCGCATTCACTTTTTAAAACAAAACGAATTGCGCCGCACTTTGAAATTTCACCGTGAGAACGTTTAAAAAATTTCTACTCTAAATGATATTCTCCCATCGGGGGGAATAGTTTCATTTTTAACGATAGAACGGGCCAGAGATCACAGAGAGACCGAGGCAGTTTTTATCGTCAAACTAATATTTGCCTTTTGACGGCATATAAATAGACGAAGCGTTTCGAAGATGTTCCTCAATGAGATTTCCCTGTGAATAAACGGAGGTCTGTTTTATGGCAACTCGTTACTCCGTCCCCCAACGTTGTCTCCTCGTCCTCTGCTCCACGATCGTAACGGAACTTCCTGTTTACTTGGCACGAGTTTTTCCCTTCGCCGTGGATGTTGCATCGATCTGCTCGTTGCCACCGAAAGTGAAATCCGCCGGTGGCCCGGGCTTGCAAATCTCTTTTCGTCCACTCCCCTCCCCCTTGCTTTTCCACCCAGTTTTGCATTCCATCGCTAACGTGCTCGCATTGAACCTAACTCTCATGGACAGTAATTACCCGGTTATTAAAATAAACAAGAGACTTGTGTTTTGCTCGAGAGAAATCGAGATCGAAATGTCTTCTGCGAAGCGCGGACAGAGTTTTAAATTTTCGAAATTACACGGATGGATTTTTTGTCAGCCCCCTCCCTCCGTGAGATTGAAATTTTCGAGACACGGAATATATTTTTTCAAGCTAAAGTTTTTAAACTCTCGAAACTAGAATTTTTCGGGGCTCTTGAACTTTTCGAAGGCGCTTCGAGTGTTGATTTCATTTCGTAAGAGGAACTGGAATTGACACTTGTGTATAAATTTCTATTTTATTATTTTCTGTTATTAATAATAGCTTTGATACTTTTATATAAATTTATATAAATTTCTATTTTATTATTTTCTGTTATTAATCGAGATTATTAACAGTCGAACTCTTTTTGGATCTAATTTAATTCTTCTTTCTTTGTCGACTATAGTGTCAGATGTAGTGAAAAACTTTTTAGAGTATATTGGTTGATAGTGGTGCAATAGGATACTTTTTCAATAATTTTTCTAAAATTATATCCTTCGAAACAAAAACCGGTCATTCAATGTTCGAGATACATATGAATTAATCCTTTTGATACTTGACAATTTTTTTTATATGTCGTCTAGAACTACAAAAGCATTATGGTCAGAAACAGAATGTCGATAAAAAGGAAACACACTACTTTTCAGTAAAAACATTTTGTGAAAAATAACGAAATATCCAAATATGTAGAAAATGTTTACCGGTTTAAAACTTTGCTTTCTTTCTCTCTCATTCATTCAGATTTAAAAAAAAAAAAAATGAAAGAATCGATTTTTTTCTTATTCACTGTATCAAATTGACAATTATCTATATTCCTTTCGTAAAAAGATCTGACTGATTATAGTAGAAACAGCTGGATACATGTATAGGACGACCACTGAAAAACTGAAGAGTTTTTATTTGTAAGCAGGAAAATGGAGCTCTTATTTGTGAGCAGGAAAATGGTGGTCATTCGAGGGATGTTTTTCACACGTAATACTGAAAAAATTCCATTAATTATATTTCGAAATAAAATAATAAAAAATTAAAACAACACGTATTTGTGAATGCTATTTTTGTTTCATATCATTCAGTCTTTCGCCCCGGTAAACGTTCAGCGTTAAAATAATAATTCGTAGAATCCTCTCGGACACTGTGTACTTCTCTGTCCCCCGCGTTTTCGTACGTTTGCCCTGGAAGAATATAAAATAATAAAAAATTAAAAAAAAACATGCGTCAAGTTATTTTTGTTTTCATATCATTCAGTCTTTCAGTGAACACTCTGTATAAAGTTCCCTGTATTAAATGCACGTTCAACGTTAAAAGAGTAAGGATGATAATAATTCGTAGAATCCTCTCAGACACCGTACATTTCTCTGTTTTCCCTTCGTTTCGTACGTTCACGAATTATTAACGTTTATCGCTGGACGCAATTGTGTCGCAGTTTCGTTCATTCATTTTGGAAAAAGTGACCGTTAGCAGCTTAGAGTTAGAACGCGTCGGGCAATCTGTGAAAGAGCACACACGGCTGCTGGGTCCCTTCCCCCCCCCCCCCTTTTCCCCCTTATTTTTCGGCTATGCACGGCCACGGGCAGCAGATGTTCCTTGCGGACGGAAGACACCATCGAGTCTCGTCCGCCATGAGTCCCCTCGTAACAACGTGGTTGTTCCACCACGTCTCCTCCTCCGCGAGACATAAATCCCGAGTTCTGGTTTCTCGGTGCATTATGCATGCCGCGCGATGTACGAAATATTACCATAAGTGGCGTGTTCTCTCCCCGTGTGCACCAAGACGGATCGCTTTTCGCGTTAGCTCGGAACCCGGCTCTTTGCCGGCCATGGGAAACGGGGACTTGGCCTCTCGATTTCTAGACACGCGACGCTTTTCTGGTATCAACATCTCTCGGAACGTCGACACCGCACGACTTACCGTTTTTCTTTCTTCTTCTTCTTCTTTTTTTTTTTTTTTTTCTCATTTTGCTACCAGAATACACGATCAGGCGTTTACTCTGCGAGGGGCTGGGTTTACTCGAGCTGTGTTTCCTGAATTTTAGTTTAGTTTCGCTCGTCACTGGGTCACCGCGTGACTCTCGCTGTACTTACAGCAATTCTGGTTTTCCAGTTTTCAACACTGCGACAGGGCATTTGAAATGGTTTATAGACGTTGCCTGTGAGAAGAAATGTATATGTATTATTTGCTGGCGCTATCGTTACAGAAGTTTTATAAGTAACTTTGCTGTAGAAGCTTTATGAACGATTCTGTTATTTGAACACTAATAATCGAGCTCGTACAATCGATTTCATTTTATGATTTTGACAAGTGCTTAAAAGATACGGACGAAATATTCTGAAATGTTTAAAATTTATATAAGTATTATATTATATATATTTTTATTTTATATATATTGTATTTTATTATATATTTTTTTATTTTATATATATTATATTATATTATATATTTTTTTATTTTATATTAAGTATTATGTTTGATGTTTTACAAAATATCAAATACAATATATAAAATATAAAACACAAATATACAAATTTTCGTACAAATTCAATGTACGAATATTACATCTTACAAACATAAATCACATTGTATATTGTATTTTATATTTGTAAAATATAAAATACAAATATATATAAACAAATTTTCATACAAATTTAACGAAAATATAAATTATACAAGTACATAAATTATGCAAAACATATATTACACAAATATACAAAACATAAATTATAATATATATATATATATTATAATATATATTACATTTATTTATTTTACATTTTACAAATATATCTCCTACAAAGTGACAAATTGCAATTACTTTCCTCGCATTGCAAAGAAAAATTGCCATTTCTTCGTGACGACGTTGTTATTGCTCGTCGTTCACAGCTAAATTCAGTCGATTGCAAATACAAATCCGTAACATCCAGAGACTTTTGCTCCTCTTTCGTTACAAGGACAACAAAGAGTCCCTTGAACACGTTCACGTCCGTTCGTGGACAGTCCGATCCTCTCGGATCTTGGTCTGCGTCGAATTGAAATTTCGCTG